GCTGTTACACTATATATATATATATATATAATATTAGTGGAAAATATACATACATATGCAAAATATATATAAAATATTCCCATACATGTATATTTTCAGAAAAAAAAAAAAAAAAATTTTCCAAGAGGAAGGATCCAGGTAGAACTCAATGTCTAGGACAGAGTAAGGATATAATAAAAAGGCTTAAACACTAATATTCCATGGTCATATATATATATATATAGGAAATTGTATAACAAAATGGAAAAAGTTTACTTGTGATACATTTTTACTTCAGGACTTCATACCAGTATGTCTTTGTTGTGTGCATGTGTAGCCCTGTCAACATAAATTTAGTCTGATGAAGTCCTGAAAGAAGAAACACATCACAAGTAAACATTTTCTATTTTTTTTTGTTTTGTTTTTTTACAAAAATAACACAAAAAAGCCACTAGCAGAAACTCTTGCCACCTTAATTTTAAGAGTGAATGCCCTCTCAAATACAAAATAGTGATAAAAAAACTTCCTAAAGAGAGCACATGAGAATTCATCCTCTCATCTACTTTTCCTTAAAGAATTCAACACACTAGATAACAATGGTTTTCCTAACCACCTCATTGATCACCAGATTAGACTATTTCTTTCTAAAGTCAATAATAACAATATTGAACATACAGACAAAAACAATAACAAATATCTTCTACAAAAGCCAAATGTACATCAACTATAAACAAGATGAATCTTCACTTAGAAATATCATAAAGAAATACACCACCCCTATTTGAACCAAACAAAAAATAATTAAATTATCTATTACAAAAAATTTTAAACAGCTAACCTTATCCTCAAAAATAACAATACACCTGCAAAATCAAAACTACATAGAATGAACATTATTTACGAGTTCAAATATCCTTTAAGGAACTGTGTTTCAGATCAAAGCAAACTCATAAATAATTACATCGGTCAAACTACTACATGCCTATCTAGACATCTCCATTAAAACTCATTTAAACACACACACAAACCTACCAGACTCCATCTGAAACATACTAATAGAGAATACAAGTATAATAATCTCATCCACATGTAAAAATAGATTAAAAATAATGGAAACCTTAATAATAAAAAAGAAAAAGCCAACACTTATTAATAACTATGAACAAGGCCACAATATGCTGTGTTTGTAAAATAAAACTTCCTTATAACTTTAGATACACACACACACAACCCATACATCCAGTTAAAACGTAAAAATAAAATCATCCTTGATAATGGATAGTGGCTCGTATAACATTTTATTTCTGAGGAGCTCTTCAAGTGAAGACTATTTGCTGAAAAAAGATTGTGATTAAAGGAGTAATACATGATTTAGTTGAATGAAGACCTAAAATCCACATAATAACATTTCTCTTTTTTTTTCTTTTTAAAAATCAGTTCACCCCAAGCAACATGATAATGCCACTAAGACACAAGGGGCTACTGGAAGTGAGAGAGAAAGAAAAGAACTGGAAGCTAGCCATGTTCATCTGGTGGTTGTGATGTAGTGTTATTTTTTAAATGGGTCTATTATCTTTAATTTTAGTACTAACCTTGATATACCAAAGTCTTTTAGTGAGAGAAATGTTCATGATTACATCAGCCATAAAAAAAAAAAAAAAAAAAATGGTTTCAAAGAATTTGAATAGTTAACAAACTTAAAATGTCAATGATTCTTTTCTTTCATATCAATAAAATTTAAGCACTTGAAATCAATTTTAATTTGTTATCCCTTGAATGAAATAGTAATTATTATCAAATTCTCTGATTCAAAAGACTACATAGCAATTAATATTACATGTAGGTTGATACTAGGTTTTAAAGGCAGAAAAAAAAAACAAAAATAAACTTATTACACACTTCTGAGATTGCGACAAATCATTGGTCATTATTCCATCAGATTTTTGGACAACAATTCTCATCTTTTCTGGTTTTTTTTTTTTTGGTTCCCCTCTTAATTTACTTGTATTATGACACTGAGGCAGTGAAGTGGTTAAACATTAATTCTAAGCAGGAAAATAAAGAGTTAACCCAAAATAAAATATAAGCTAGAAGATAGAGTGAAGACATTTTCCTCAGTGAGAATGGGACATCTGGATTTCTTCTTTCCTAAAAGTTTATTTTTCTTATTTAGAATTTGGCATGCAGTCACAAACAGATTTGGGAAATAAGTTTATCTCTTCCTGGAAGAATTAGAAAAACACATATTCTTAATGGAAAGAAAAGCAGATGACAGTCCTATTTTTTGTTGACAGAAACAAGCAATAAACCTTTTTACTTACAATTGAAGTTATGAAAATCAATCATGTCATACCAAAAAGGTGATCTAGTTTGAATTTCCACTGAGACACTGACTGGCCGAAGAATGGGAAACAGAGAATCACTTTGTTGAGAATTTAGGTAAACAAATATATTTTCATTGACAAAAACAGATTTGGGAAATAATTTTTATCTGTCGCTTGGAAGGTTAAAATGAGAACGAATTTCTCTTAATGGGTTAGATATACTGTATGATTAAGTCTGGAGTTATGAAACAAATTCTGTCATCAATGGTCTGGCTTGTATTTTCGCTGCACAGAGACAGTTCCAGGAAAATAGAAAAGATTTGGAGAATTAAAATTAATGGCTGGAATGGAACTCCACCCTTCTGCCTACGCGAGTGAAAAATTAATATGCACATAAAAATATGACAAATTATTACCTTACCACTAAGAAAAATTATCATTAAATTATGATCTAAAGTCTTAACCTTTCATTGAGTTCTTGTTTGTGAGAACCTTGTTGTGGTTCAGCAGATTGTTACTAGTTTAGTGAGTAAAGTTCTCGCTAAGGGCTTGACAATTGTGACATGCTTAGTAAACACTGAGACTAATTTTTATTTAGTTAATACTTGGATGGCATGTATTTATATATATAATTATTTATTTAAAAATTATAACATAAATATGTTATAAAATCACTACAAAAATAGCCATTTCCATTATATCTGCTCTACTCTGTATTGAGCACTCTTTTAAGAATAATAATTGTTGGTTATTGGAATTTATTCCGTATACACCAATCCTATACTTGGAGATTATATATATATATATATATATATATATATGTGTGTGTGTATGTATATAACTAGTGTACCCATGCCATCAAAAACAACTGCAATTGTTTTATGAGATTCAATTAAAGAAAAGTCTTGAAAAAGAAAAAAAAAGGCCAATGAACTGTTTAATTAATCCCTTCCTTTTATATTTTTTTAGATGTTCAATGCTATAATTCATTGATTACTCCTGGTATTATATAAATTGCTTTTTGCTGGATATCTTTTCATGTTAAAAATTTTCTGTATTTAATATAACAGTGAAATGGAAATATCACTTAGAAGAAAAAGATTAGCAACAGACTAACAAAAATGGCAACAACTTAATAGACAAAGGTATCTTAGTGCTAAACATGAAAGACTTGACCATATAAGATTGCAATCTAAGAAACACAAAATAAAAGGAACTGATTAACTTTACCATTGTAATTTCTTTCTAGAATTATTCCCCCTGCCACTGCATTTTATTTGAGTATGCAAAAACATGAACACCTACTGTTTTAAAATTGTTATAACTTTCTTTGTATTGTGCATGTAGATTTTAATTTTTGTATGCTAATAAAAGAATGATTGAGTAATATTATTATGTAATGAATTATGTTTTGCATGCATGTTTTGATGTTGAAAACAAAAAAAATTGAAACGCGAAATAAAAAACAAATACATTAAAAAATACATAAACAATTCAACATACTTATTACTCCTTGTGGAGTTCTGGGGGTGCAATAAGAAACAAAATCGCTAAGAAGGCTTTCATTTCATCAAAAAAATGACATGCTTACATATGAGAAGGCACCAGCATTTGTTTGGTCTTTCTTTCACTTACATTACTTATTTGTCTTGTTGACAAATAAAGTTATTATTCCGTTGTTTAGAAATAGACAAAATAATTCACCTGCAGAAAGGCTATTAGGTATATCAATGGTCACCGGAAGCTTCCATAAAATTAGTTAGGCATGGATGATTGTAAATGGCATTGGAAAACAGAAGTTTAACCTTGTTCCAAAGCAGTAGTAGGCGATTTCCAACTTGAAATAGCAGTTGACAAGTGTTTATTCATAGCAACTGTCTCCAGGCGACAGAATGCGCCTAGAGCATAAAAGGGAGATAATTTTGTCTAAATGCAAATAAGTATTTTTGTATAGATTATTAAAATGACTAAGGGAAGTAATCACTCAAAAAATTTAGTGACTTAAGTAAGATTTACCCCCCTTTCTACTTCAGATGGGGGCAGGATATAAATAAATAAATACACATTGATAATTATCATAATTATATTTCATTGATTGATAATAGATTTACTATTAAAAAATAAATAATTTATTAGACTTTTAATGAAAAGGAAAAATCTCAATGGCAATATGTTAGAACTTATTTAAAATTAGTCAAATGTCTCTTACACCTGCTGCTAATCTGGTAATTTATAAAATCCTAATTCAAGATTAGGCAGTAAATCTTTTTCAAAATGCTTCAACATTTGGTGACTTAAAAACATTTTAACAAACAAATTCATCTTAGACAAAAACTGCTAAGAAATTAACTGACATTATCTATGGAAATACTTATTATCAATTCCTTTCTTTGAATGAGAAAAATTTAAACTGGGAACCTCAGCAGTAAACCTACAAAACTCTTTATTTTGCAAAGACTTTGTGGAATGGTTAGATAAACCTGATTAAGAAAATTAATCATAATTGATAGTTTTTTTTAAAAAAAAAAAAAAAAAAAAAAAAGGCTCTATTTAATTTTCAGTTCATTTATAATCCTGTATAAACTACCAATACAGAACTTTTAAGTATTTTATATGAAGCAATAAAATAAATTGTGATAAAAAATATTTTGAATACAAAGTATAAAAATAATTTTTATATAAAAACAAAAGAAGTAATTAATCATTAGAATGTTTTCGTTTTCGATTTTGCAAATCTTTTGTGAAATTTTGAGTATTGTCTTCATTTTGTATCCTTCTTTCAAAACAGGCCACAAAGAATCCATTTGTCAAGTCCTCGTCAGTTGACCAGCGTATGAAATGATGGCTATTAGGGTAACTGCTTGCCCCACGTCCCGTAAAATCAGGCATTATTTCTGTAAAAGAAAATTTGTCCTGAAAATGCTTTATGACTTCTTCAACAACTTCTTCATTTTCTTCAACAAAGATGGAACATGTTGAATAGACAACTTTCTTCACATTTGGGAAACAAAGTGCATGTTTCAAGATAGAAATCTGAAATCTGGACAGTTTTTTTAAGCGATGTTTAGAAGTTTCAGTGGAATCAATTGCCTCATCCAGTCTTGAGACAATTCCTGAAAAAGAAACAACGACAGTAACAATTATGTGTAGTAAGAAAGATGATTGATTCATTTATTTTTTATGGCTTATCAACCCCTTTTCAGGTTATTTAAAGCTAGATAATATTTTTAGACTGTAAGATTTTTTTCTTTCTTTTGGAGATAATGATGATTTTAGTAATACAAACCCTAATAATTAACCTATAGCTGGTGGGAGAATAGTCAGATTTATACCTTTCCCAAGGATATTTGCTTGTAAGTGAATATAATGAACACAAATGGAATTGAACTTTGATTGCCAATTAACAATTCCAAGCCATTATCCATTATACCACCGGCACATTTTGAAATATGTTACATGCAAGATTTTTCTCAGATTTTCCTAAAGTTGTTCTAATATATAAAAATTTATATAGTATTTTCCTATATAGATGTCTTTCATTACTGGGAATTTTTGCCATTCAACTGGAGCAGTTTAAGTTTAAAGTCAGTCCACCCAAAAATCAATATTAGTAACAACATTTGGGTTCAATTGAAGCACATCCACAAATGGGGGGGGGGGGCAATTTCCATGGGGGGTGCCTCTGAAAAGGGGACTGTAAAATAATCAATAATATTACTGTAATAATTTTAAGTATTTATTTTTATTAAAGTTTTTATGAAAGATATATATCCAAGAACAGATAGTAAATAGTAAAACGTTGCTGAGAGTTATAATGGACAGGAAATAGTGGAGAGCCATCATCGCCAACAATTGTGACTCAAAATCGACACTAAAGAATTATCTATCGAACAAAAAAAATTTCATAAAAATCGGAAAACTGGAAATGCATAACCAACATCTAATCACGCACACTTTGAGAATTTATATATATATATATATATATATATATACACACACACACACAAATATCTACTGTGACTTAATTTTAATTTGTTAGCCATATGAAAGAAAGAATGATTCTTTCCCTGGTCTCTGTTTTTTAAAATAAAGATATATCACTTACATTTTTGTTTAATAATTTCTAAAAAGGCTAAAATAAAATAAAACTAATTGATAAGAAGTCTTTTAGAAAAAGAAAAAAGAAAGGTTCTAAAAACTTACCTGAACCAGAACAGGATGGATCTACAAGAATATACTCGACTTGTTGAAACTTTGGATCATTTGGATTTGTGGTCAAGAAATCTTTGCAAAATGATTCAACAATTTCAGTTCCTGACTTCTGAACAAATTTCTCCAAAATCTTGAGACGTTCTGCATCCATATCAAAGGCAAAGATTTTCCTGAGTAATTAAAAAGTCACACGGTAATGAAATTAGATAATATTTAAAAGTAATCTGACATCTTGCTATGAATAATGAAAAGCAAGCTCAAAATAGAGAAACATTGGTAAGATTTCATTCATTCATTGGCTTAGAAGTGGAAAGGTAGAAAAATTGTGCTGTGTGAATTAAGTGAGAAATATGCAATAATCACCAAGCAGACCCAAGACTTCATTCCCAATTAATGGTCAAGGGAGATTCTTTAAGATTGATTGATTTGTTTAATGGCATATCAACTCCTTATGGGTCATTTAATGCTGACATTTAATATTCTTGTGGGCTTTAAAGTAATAAAAATATGATATATGTTATTGTGCTTTCACACTTGAATACATGGTAGATGATTGGTTGGTTGATTTTGTTTAGCTGCATATCAACACCTCTATTTTACATTTAATGCCAAAATCTAAATATATTGAAAATTTTATGGCTTCAATATATTATACTACAGATAAAATTGTTGGTCTGCCTTTGATTTTTTACACGTAGGTATAATGGACTGCAATGCAAAATGTGGTTCTTACGTGTGCTGCAGTAAAAAAAAAAAAAAAGTATGAAGAAACCCCTTCATCAGACCAATACTACTAAATCACAAAAGACCTTTACGAAATAATAAAACCCCATAATTAACATAAGTGAAAAGGGATGCTGGGAAGAAAAGGTTAAGAACCATTGCAATACAAAATAATCAGCATTTCTGTTTGGTATTTTGAAATAAGTTGTTGCTAATATTCAATGTCTATTTTGGACCATTTTTTATTAAGTGCAATGTGAAAAATATAACAATATACGTATTAATAATGGGCAAAGTTTAACAAACATACCAACAAAAATATGGTGTGTCAAAAGGACAGTTTTTATCAGTGTTAATATAATAGTTACGTCCCTTTAACCTCCACTCTCTAGAGAAGGAGACAAAAAGGGACACTGTCATGGCGTATGTTGAATAAAGAACACATGTGGCACAAGCCTCTGATTTAAACGTCTGTTCTGTGTCTGTCATTATTCACACTGATATAATGCATTCCTGAAAACAACTATACACTCAGGACACTGATATTATTGTATATTCCCTTGGCAATCTGTATTGCTTTAAAAAGTTATTTATAGAATTTTAATGAAACAAACATGAAAATAAATTGACATTCTCTTTTTTTCTTGAAAATTGACAACAAAAAATTGAATAAAATAATTGTTCATTTTATGATGTATACATAATAATAGCTAGATGACCACCACCACACCACCTCTTGGAAAATTAAAACAAGAGGTAATCTGAGATATAAAATAATCTGACAAGAAAATGTATTATACCTGGAAAATGTTTTTTTTTAATATATAATTACAGTTACCTGTCATTATGCATTTATTTAAATTTCTTTGTTCTATAGAATCACAGTCATTTTTATAAATTTATGAATAAATTGGTCATTTTTATAAATTTATGAATAAATTGGTCATTTTTATAAATTTATGAATAAAACATTTATTTTTTTATAATATGGTAAATAATAAATATTGCATTGTACTTGGTTCACATATTTTTATATTCTTGTAAAAAACAATCTAATAAATAAATAGTGTTTAATATGTTTGTTGTCAATTCTCAAGAAAAAAGAATATATATAAATCCAGTTACCTATGTTTGGGTTTTATTAAAATTCTAAAAATAGATTTTTAAAACAAAAATTGTTGAAGGAGTATACAATAATAGTGGTACCCAAAGTAAAACTGTGATTTTGACAGATTTTTTTTTTTTGTGTGTACATTTGTTAAACTTTGCCTAACGATAGATGGCAATAGTTTGTTTCATGCTTAAATGTAATCGTCACTCCATCTGTATATTTCCTATTACTGCCAAGATCAAATAAAAACAAAAAATGGAAAACTTATTTTCCAGAAAGATAAGACTTCTCCATATGAAAGATTTATTCAAACATTTGATCTTGAATTGTGCCATGTAAAAGAATGAAAAAAGTAATAGCAAAACAGGATTAATAAGAAACAAATGTTTTACACTTTAACATATTGAAGTCTCTAATGATTAAGTGTAGATTATCTCCCTTAGATAAAGGGGTCATTATATGCCTTCCCCTATTTGATTATCTTTGCTAATTATATTTACTCACCCTGAGTTGTTCATCAAACTGGCAAGGTGGGTGGTCTTGTTGCCAGGAGCAGCACAACAGTCAATTACAGTGCTTCCCTCTGGTGGACAGAGAATCTGAGAGGAGAAACAACTGGCCTGAAATAAAAAAAAAAACAGATATTGGTACTGTATGGTCACAGGGTTTTAAAGAGGAAATTTATCAATTCAAAAGGAAATGTTGATTTTTTTTAACATTAACTGCAATTTAGAAATTTAAATAAAATCTTTATCGTCATCAAATCATTTAGATGAAAAAAAAAAAAAAAATTGATAAACTATTTGACATGCCCATCGCATACATTTCTTTTCAGAACACAAAATAATGCTTAAAATTTGATGAATAAAACCTCTCCATTTATGCTATCACATTTCCTTATATCTATATTTCTCATGTTGTCTGTCTGTGTGTCTGTCGTGGGCATTGTTACCTCGCCCAGGCCGCATTTCTCACCCGATTTCGATGCGGTTTTCACCACAAGTTTGCAAATGGTTGCCTTAAGGACATGACGCAGCCCGATTTTTCAGTTTGGACTCAGGTTCCAAAAAAATCGATAATCGAAAAAAATCGATAATCGAAAAAATCTGCTTACAGAAGGAATTATTGCATTTCAACCAAATTTGACACCCTCTTAGAGTCTACCTTTAGAAGTGTTGTCCAGAAGTTTCATGACCACGGGCCCCTAAACAGCGTGGAAAATCGATAAAACCCAAAAGCCAATACGCCCAGATTGCACCTGAACCGCATGTCGGTTTTTAGCGAAAACTGATCGGATTTATGAGGAGGCCATTGGGTGTCACCATGTGAAGTTTCAACTCTGAGCACCCCCAAACAGAGTGCAAATGGACAATCGATCAACCCTTAAAAATGTTTTTCCGGTTGGGTATTTCCTAAATGCAGATTAATTTAAGGTCACGCTATGCGCAGGAAGAAACAGGTTAGTGCGTGCAGTGCTGTATGAGTCGTACGATTTTTGAATCAAGCACAGGCAACGCCGGGCCATGCTTCTAGTATTAGATATGAATCCATTTAATTTTTTTTTTTTTTTAATCATTTTACTCCAAGAAAGGTGATAGTGCCATTAAGACACAAGGGGGTTACTGAAAGTCGACTAGAATGAGAAGACTTTAGGGAGGAGAAAGGACAGGATTCAGGAAGACATGGTGACTGACGTTGCATTTAAATTTTTGAAGATCATAGGCCAAATGGAAGCAACAAATCACAGAAGAGTTTTACAAGTGGGAAGTGCAAGAAAAACTATTAGAATAGATTACACAGTTACATGCAATTAATTTATTTTTAGAAATCTGACATTACTTAGCTTAAATGATGTGTGTGTGTGTGTATTTTGGCAGCAATCCCTCTTTTATACAGGTTTCATTGAAGAAGACTTACAAGGAATGGCAATTAAGATATTTTTTTTTTCATATTTCTTTTTTTTGAACATGGAATATGCAAGAACTGTCCAAATGATCTCTATGTCCAAAAAAGAAATCTCTTGTACAAATGCAAGAAAAATATAATAAAAAACTTAATTCCTTGGTTGACAGTCATTGTCAATGAAACAAACACACGCACACACATTATATATGTTATATACACTATAGACCAAAAATATGGAACCACACTCTGGATTTTGAAGAATCACCTAAAAACTGAAGGTTACATACCTTTTTTAAAATTAATTTAGTAGCTCACTTTGGGCAAGAGGGAAGGGGTTTATCATATATTCAATAATAATAATAATGAAATTAACCCATTCCTGTGTAAAGGTTCCTTAAAATTTTATCTCTTTTTGCCTAATTGACCTTGCTGGTAATCTTAGAGCTGGGGGATTTTAAGCTTTAGGTAATGTTCTCTAAAAAAAAAAAATTGGACACCATGCACTAATGGGTTAAATAGTTTCAACATCTTAGCTTAGTAGGAGTTAATTAAACCAAAAATGTATGAAACTTACTAATTATTAAAACCAGTGGGTGATCCCAAAATTTTGGCCTATATATGTATGTCTGTGTGTGTGTATGTAACTAAATATAAAATGCGTGTCTTTAAATTGAACTTGTAGCTTAAGTCAAAACAGGCATATACAGTTCTGAAATAATATATCAGATAGTGAAATATTTTCTTTTAAAAAAAGCTTTGAGCTAAAGTATGGTTAATATGCTAAATTGGATCATTTAACCCCTTCCCTGCCAATTATTTTGGGAAAAACATGTCATTTTCAGACAATTTTTTTTATTTGTTTTTAATATAGTAACTAAGAAATTGAGGCATCTTCAAGTACCTGAGTGGTGGCTAACAACTTTACCAGACATACGAATTGACAATTGGACTTGTTTCAAGTTCAGAAGGATATAAAAAAAAAATGAAAATGGATGAATGAATCAAAAACAAAAAATAAATTGCCCAGCTATGGTTTCAATGGTAGGGTAGACTGGGCTCTCTAGTTAATCTGGGAGGACAACTCTCAAGTTCAAAACCATGGAGAAAGCAACTGAAAACCACTCCACTATTTTTCCCAAGAATTCATGCAGTTTACAGATCAGAAAGAAATGGAATTTGTAGAGAGTCCTTAACACCTACATCCTGAAGAGTCAAGGTATTTAAAAAAAAATATATAAATTTGTTCCAATCACCAGATCATTGTAGCCTAATGTTTTTCAAATGGCCAATAGGATTTCACCATTTTTCAACTGTCTTACATTCAATTGTGATTGTTTTCTTTTTCTTTGTTGCATCACCAATACTTGCATTTGAATAATGCCTTGATGTTATGGTAACATGGGTAAGAAAACATTTAAACAAAAAAAACGTTCTGCACTCTTAACAGCAATGTAATTAAGATGGTGAATTTTGTTCTCCTTCCTTGAGTTAATGAACTTTTGAAGTTGTGTAATGTTTTCATGAGTGTCACAAAATAATGTGTGTGTATTCCTATGAATACAAGTCATTGTATTGAACTCAAAGTTTTAATATAATAGGCTTCATGGTAATTCATTTGTCAGTAAGTCAAGTGCCGAGCGTGTACACAGATTCTGTTAGTAGTCTTGTTGTTCACTGTGCTCTCTATCTCTCTATTCACTTCATTGCACTGTGTTTATTTCATACCATGGATTTAGGATAAGAAGAGACTAGCAGTTTCAGAAAATTAAGGACAAAATAACATTGGAAGGAAGTAATCCAGGAAGAAACATTGAAATCAGGCATAGCTTATCATATTATGTGAATAATATTCTATCTGGATTTCTGGGATGAGGAGTTATCATTATTTACACTATATTCTGACTATTGTCCTCATCAAATGGGCGAGCAGTACTATAAATAAGAACTAGACATCTAGTCTTCATTGGGTATGTATCGATTCAGGTAACCTACAGGTAGACTATTCTCATTCCACTGCCCATATCTAGGGATATCTTGTTTAGGTCTTATTTTTAGTACTGCAACAGTTATTGCTTGCCATATTTCCACTGAATATAAGTACACATGGTACAGCCCAGGGATTGAACTCACATTTACTATGTTACTAAATTCACAAACACTTTAATCCACTAGGCCACGAACTGAACAGGACTAAAAAAAATAAGAACTAGATGAGCTATCTCTAGACATGGGCAGTGGAACAAGAACAGTCTACTACTGTAGATTAAATAAAGTATTCAGTTCAGATCAATATACATCTGAGGAAGGCTGCATAATGGTTGAAATATTGTGATATCAAAAACAATAAAGATAAGAACAATTAATTCAAATATAAACAGTGTAAATAATAATAATATTCTAATTAACTTATTAAAATACCATGTGTCCTTGAGGACATCTGGGTATGAATTTCTGGGTATTATAAACCTAATGTCTTCAGCAACCATTTTTACCAGTGCTCATATTACAATTTTGCTGTTATCAAATCATGTTTTTTACCAGAGCTCATATTGCAACTTTGTTGTTATCATTGCTTTTCTCTGGCACTCCTTATTACTGGTTCCCATATTGTATTTATTTCTATTCTTGGTCGGCTCAGGAGATTTTTGTGGCCTAGCATATGTGCTGATTCCTTAAGTTTACAAATTTTCCAATGGTGTTCCTTGTCTATGATCTCAACCTGATCCCACAGAGGGCGGTGGTCTCCCTTCTCTCTCCATATGTGGTCAGCCACGCCTGATTTTTCTACTTCGCCTCGTGTTACAGCATCAAAATCTTTTCTTTTTTTGAAACATTTCTAATAAAAGAAGAGAAAAATAATACCTTACCTTGTCTTGGAGAATTATTTCTCCAGATTTGTATAAAGGGTGTTCATGAAAATCTATTCCTGGTGGAAACACAATTAATGAAGGAATGTGAATGTCACGAATAAATTCTTCCGACTTCAAGGATTTCACTTCTTCCAAAAAACTAAAATACAAGGATTTGCGCAGTAGAATAGAAAAATAAATGTATGAATGTCACAGAGGAAAAAAAAAGAAGTTTTAAAAAACAGTTAATAGTTGAGCTATTTTTATAAATATATTTTGTCATATCAATAAGTAATTCTTAAGTATTTCTAACATACAATACTGTTCTTTTCAGCATTTTACATACTGGTAGAAAAAACAAAATGTGCTTTCTCATAATGCATTAACCACAAAAATTTCCCCAAAAGACTATGGCTCATATAACTACAAACATCTTTCATTGTAATGTTTTTTTTATTGAACAATATTGACCTTTTATTATTTCTACATACATGAAGGAATAAATTATTGACTATATCCAAGACTCTTGAAGACTGTAGAGTAATTAAAAGGATATAAAGAACATGGTATTGAATGGTAATTTTAGATTTAACAAGAATTCTTGAAAAATATAGCTCTACTGAACTAAAGTGTAACCCGGATATAAGACAGTTGTCGGGACCAGAGAAGTCGTCTCTTATATCCGGGTTTCTCTTATATCCGGGTTTGGTCTATTTTGTTTAGGTAAGTATGGGAACACTTTGGGACCAGATAAAATCTCTCTTATATCCGGGTTTCTCTTATATCCGGGTTACACTGTACTGTATTTGATCATGATGTACACAAGAAATTTTGCACAGGAAACAAAATTAGAGACAAAATCACATTATACATAATTATAACATTTTTACTTATTAATAAATAATATTATGCTTACTCAATAAAGTAAAAACAATCTGACAGCTGTGTTTTTGTAATAAAATATCCCATCTTTGTCTACTTCTTAAGAAAGAAAAATCCATGATGTGATTTCTGCTATTTTGTACAGTTCTTTCTGAATCTGTAGCCAAAATGTTAAAAAAAAAAAAAAAAAAGGGTGATATTTATCAAGATGTCAGACTTTACTTACTCTAAGCTTTTTATCAACTATTGATCTTAGAAAATGGGTTTGGCATCATCATATGAAAGTCTCAATCAGATGAGGTTATTTAAGAACATTACTAGAGTTTTCAGGTTTTGGTTTTGTAGTAACTTGCAGTGCTGATTGGAACTACTTCTGGCACAGACTATTCTGTGTTCAATTTCCTTTTCTTTTATACTACATTTGTTGTTACTGATTCATACACCAATCTGATGTGTTTACTATTTACTAATTCCACACACAGAATTTATTTGATTAATTCGTTCAGTGCATCACTGCTTTTATTCCATTTATTTAGAAACACTTAGTATAAATTATTTACATAAACAACATACTTGATTTTTGTAAAACCATTTCACTTCATGCAAGGTGATAAAGCCACTAAGACGCAAACGATTACTGAGAATGAAGAAAGCTATTGCAGAAAGAGAGGAAAATAAAAAAACAGCTTACAAGTAGACAGAAAATGATAACATTTTTAAACTGGCTTCTAAAATTGCTTTAACAGTAAGACAACGTATTATACAAACTGAAAACTGTTTTTTTTTGCATCCTCACCCAACCATCTTCCATACATTTTCTTACACATAAAATATATTTTTTATCTTACATACAAAATAGAACACAAATAAAAAAGGTTGTAAGAATGCAAATTGCGATAATCTCCCTTTGGTTAAGACGAAGTCACAAGGATCATATGACAGCAGATAAGTGACATGAGTTCATTAGATGACGAAAAAGGAGTTGTCTGCCCACACCAGTTGCTGATGATAGACTGCTATGGTGCTAGATGTCATCTCTAGCCCACAGCAGTAGGGAGAACAGAAGAACCCACATGGTACCTTGCCTTGATGTTCATTGAACAAACTACTAGCCTATTTTCCCTTCAGAAAATATCATAAGTAAGACCCTCTTGCCTTTCCACTCTGCTTGTTTTATTCAAATGTTACAATCTCTGTGAGGGACAAATTAGCGACAAGTATTTATATATAATTTCATGTATGACAACAGTATACAAAATCTCTTTGAGAATAATGAATGTTTGTCATTCCTTTCTTTCAGCTACTCTGGTCTGTCCATTGTATTATAATTTCATTATATCACGGACATAATAACGCCTAGAATGGGGAGAATGTAAACTGGAAATATTCTTTCTTGTCTAGCATTCCCATTAAGGTAAATGAATGATGAACTCAGTATCAGAAAAGTAACTAATTGAAAGGAAAAAAAAAATGCATTTAGCTGTGTCTAGGAGATTAAATCTGTTTCTAACATTTACACTATTTACATTGTTCGAACTATTGTCCTCATCTTTCATATTCACAATGCTTTTCAGCCAATGTTTTTATAAACAAGGATACATGGCCTAGTGGATAAAACCGTTGGTTGAAGTAATCCAGTGACTTGACCCAAAGAGTTGTGAGTTCACTAACAAAAACTTGGAGATTCGAGTTACTAAAGGGAAATAACTGAAACTGAGATATCCAGAAAAGGCATGGCACATGGAACTAGAACAATCTACCACAGTGGACGAAATAAAGGGTTTGGTTTGAAATGTCCACATATATCACCTGAAGGAGGCTGCAGCATACAATGGATGAAACATTGTGAATATCATAATGAAGATGAAAACAATAGTCCAAATAATGTAAATACTTACAATAAACAATAATATAAATAGTTACAATATCTCATCTCACAAATATAGACAGATAAAGTCTAACATATCCACTAATTATTGTAAATCTGAGAATGCATTCATTAATCAGTTACTCTTTATCTTAATATGTCTTATTTTTTTGATACACAAATAATTAAAGTTTCCACCACAAAACCATCTTTATTCTGTTGATTTAGAGTGGCACATTCCATTTTTCTGTGATTTTTAAATAAGTTTTTAAAAGTACTATTAACTCTCAATCAATGCAGTTTTCTTTAAAATTATTATTACTTTTGAAAGGCTTGGCATTTGCAACTCTTTTTCATTAATGTGTACATAAAATTAAATTTATCATAACAAAGGAGTAAAGAATTGATTGTACAGATATCAATAAGAATTTGATTAGTGACGTCACACATAATGAAATGGACAAAGTCCAACAATTCAAAGTCCAAAGCAGTAAAGGCACATCAAGCTAAATGACGGTTCCGTATAGGATACAGGTTCGAATCCTATCAGAGGACGAATATTTTCTGTGAAAATTTCTTGGACATTCAGGCCGGTAAATGTTGTTTTATACTGTTTATTATAAACAGAGCATTTACTTAAATATTTGTATCTATAAAAAGAATATTAAACATAAAAATGTCTTAAAATAAAATTTGATTAGTGCAGCATTTTTTTTTAAAAATCAACATTTTGAGGTTCAATGGAATAAATCTTTTCTAAATTTTCAGCCAAGATTCGTGTGATAGACCTTAGTGCAATAGTCAGTAATTTTAATTTGTTGACTCATACACTCATGAAGTGAGTTTAATCCTAACTGGGTGCTTAACAGTTGTAGCAGAATTAGATTTTGTAAATAACAAATATTCCAGTGATGTAAAAATGCAAATTAAAAAGGTTATACTAAAAGGTTGGAAATTACCTGCTGTAATCTTTTCCTTTCCTATGTAATCTTCGATATCCATCTTCTTTGAATTGTTTGCAAACATCTTTCATACGAGTTTTCAGTGTGTTGACACGAACATATTTTGGGACGCTGGTGACTAGAAAATCAAAGACCACAAAGAAATCAACTGAATGATTTAAATGTGAATGCACATAAATGTTCAGGAACATTATAAAATAGGACATTTCATTGCAGAATGAAAACAACTTCAATTGTATATTTAGGTCAAGTAATCTAATAACAGATCAATCATTGTTGGGATATTTAATGTTGAATATGTGAAAAAAAAACAAAAAAAAACACAGAGAATTATAGATAGGTAGACAATAGGCCCAGTTTACACCAGAGACTGCAATATCCATTTGAAAGGTGACCTTTTTAGGAAGTGGTTTTGACTCCCTGTGTGGGATTCATTTGGCATATTTTAAGTCCCCTCGACAGGGCAATTCAATTTTTTCTTTTTCTTCCTTTTCCTTTTTACAATGTTGTTCTCCTGTATAAGGCCCAGGAGCCACTTGAGGTAGAGGATTACAGAGTAAGAAGAACAGTTTATGCAGATATGTGGGGAAGATAATGGTTCTTGGGAAGAAACTGCTCGAGTGGAACTTATATCTCACCAATTTTACAGAATGAGAAGTAGCAACCATATAAAATGAATAAGAAAAGATGAATGGGGGGAAAAAAATGATAAAAAGGGAGATTTTAAGAAAAAAAAAAAAGTTTGAACAGGGAATTTAGCATTTATGAATTAAAAATAATATTTTTCTATCTCCCACCCCAGCAGGTGCACACATTTCACTTTTCAAATACAAATTTAAAGAAGTTTGGTAAACATTACATTAATTTGTGATCACAAAAAGCAAATACAATGAATTAAAAACTAACCTAGAAAATACTATCATGATTTAATCATTTGGAAATGACTTATGAAATATCTTGTCTTTGAGTAGCTGATGAGAAAAATTATGAAAAACTTTGTCCTGTGTTTCCTTACTTTAACAGTCAATCAGATAGGGATTCAAAACTATTTATGGACAACAGAGAAAGCAATGATAAGGCTGGACAAGAGTGTGGTAAACAAGATGTTTTTGCTGATAGGACATCATGTAAAAATATCCTGCTCACAATTAATCAATAAAAGAATTTAACATACAATTCATTAATTAAAAAATAATAACCAGGCTAATTAAAATTAACTTCATGGAAAGTGTAAAACTCATACTGCCATCATAGATCAATAATCCAGTAAATCTGCTTGGTATAGCTTTTTTGGGGGATTGAATTTTTATTTTATGGCACATCAACCATGTAGGTCATGTCATGGCACATCAACCATGTAGGTCATGTCATGGCAAACAAGGGGTTTTGTGGAACAGTCACTGAAGGAACAGTTGTGCAAGATTTTTAGTAGAATTTTGACATTTGGAATTATATTGTAGTTTGAGAGAAATTTTACTTTTATGTTTAGGCATTTTGGGGTTATATAGTTGTATTTTGGGCTTTCTACTATAAGTGTTCAAAGTGGTTTATTTCTTTTAGGTAGCCTATTTTTTGAAAAGCATGGTAAGATTTTTTTGAAGACATTTTACAAAGTACAGGCATTGTAATGCACCACTTTCAAATCACAAGTCAATAAATACACAGCAGAGACACAGTAATGTGATTACATTTGTGTTATATACCATACCTATGAACACTAATGGGTATGTCCCAATCCTCATAAATACATTGGACACTATTGTAAGTGGAGGTAATATGCTGTCTAAGTAGTCCACAACTAGCAGTGGTTTACCTACGTCACGCCACTGGTGAGTATTGCATTTTGTTGATATTATAAAGATTACCATTTTATTTCCAACCTCTGTTTTGGTTATTCATCATTTAGTTACCCTTTCTAGGATACAACAATCTATTGCATATACAACAAACCAATTTAAATCTCTATTTTATGAAATTAATAAAGAAAAAACTAACCTGTATTTCAAGACTATTGTGTAATATAATTTTTCATTTATTTTTTAAAATATCAAAAGCATGTTTAAACCAAGGAATGAAAGGAGATAATAATAATCAAAATGTACTCTATTTTTTTTTTGTGTATCAGACCAACACTATCTCGGTGGTGTTCATCAGACGCACACTTATTTTGAAGATAAAAGTTCTGGAAAAAAAGCTATAGTCATATTTGAAAGATTTTTTATTGAATAAAAATTTAATCGGACACTTTAAAAAATCAGTATAATTGTTCTGAACAAAAAAAGGAGCACAAAACATTAAAATAGGAAAATATCATTTTAAAAAAATTTATATTACTTAGTTTGTTCCTAAGACTTAAAAAAACCCACATTGCTGTTGCTTGGAAAGGAATCAGATATTTCATCATTGGATTCAGTATATAGGATTAAAACAATGTCATCCTTGCACCCCCCCCCATTGTGTACTGATACCACATTTCTTTAACTGTTCTCCCCACACAAAACATTTTTCAATATTCTCATTTAGGGATATTTACACAAATCTTGTATAGTTCATATTGATGAATGTGTGTGTGTATATATACACACACACACACACACATAAATTGGGACGATATATGGATTAGAATTCAACTGAATGGTAGGAAAAGAACAAATAGGAAACATTTAACAGGTTTCACTTTTATTTAAATTTCATCAGAAATTAAGTATGGAGGAGAAAAGAAAATTCTGGTACTTTTTGTGCGGTATGCTTTTCATTGGTTAAGTAGATCTATATATCTTTATAAAAAAAACTACTGACATTAAATTTTGTGGTCAAAAAGTGTATCTTAAAAATCCCAACATACTGTACATTTGAAAAAAAAAAAAATCCTAAACTGATTTTATTTCCATATTAAGAAGAAAATGCTATGAAAAACGAAAAACACATTTTTAAGATTCATTGTTTTAAATCAAAGTGGAGATAACTTTTATTGTAAATGTTGCTAATTTTATGAAGAGCTTATGAAGATCAAACTGACAAATCAAAGAAAAGACATAATCAATACAGACTGGCAATCAGTAATGTGGCACTTGTTTCCATGAGAGCAATATCAGGTTTCTTGGTTTGTCACAAGGACCTACTACAACCGTTAGGTGGCACAAATTGCTGCATTAGCTGTTTTTAAGTACCTACAAACACCAGTAAGGCATTTCTTTTTCTCTTAGATGGCTTATTGAAATTGTTAGCAAATAGATCAGCTAATTGTCAATTAATTCAAACTTTATAAAATGGTAAATGATAAGGATTTCCTTATAGTTGGTTCACATATTTTAAGAATTAATAATGTTTATAAATTCATGAATAAAAATCGTTTTCATATTTGTTTCTTTATGAATTGATAAATGATAAATAAATGATAAATATTGCATTGCATTAGTTTTTAAAATGTTGTAAATATAAAACTATTCTTGTAAATAAACAATATAATAAATAAACAGTATTTAATATTTTTGTTTTAAAATTCTCAAGAACAAAAACAAAATTCGCTTTCATCATATGTTTAGGTTTATTACAATAATAGCAGTATCAAGTGAATAAAACATACTTTTGACAATCTGAGTTTTTTTTTTTGCAGGTATGAAGGTACAAGTTTATCAAATAGTGTTTATTGTCAATTCTCAAGAACAATGAAATTGTATAAATTCAATTTCATATGTTTCGGTTTTATTTAAATTCTAAGCATCACTTTTTAAAACAATAAACATTTATTATCAGTGAAGGTAGTTAAAATAATAGCAGTATCAAGAGAAAAAAAACATACTTTTGACACCTTATTTTTGTGGGCCCGACGTCCAAAGTTATCTTAAACATTGGCTTACCAGCTGAGCTTCGAGTGAAAAGCAAGTCTTGTACACAACTGAGGCCTTTCTCTTTGGTTAGAAATTCTGTGTATTCTCTAATCCGTTCACGATATTTCCTCATAGTGTTCTAAAAAAAAAAAAAAAAGTTACAAAGAGAAATGATAAATCTTGACTGAAAATCAAATCTTACATTTAATACAATATTCCTTAAATGGTCTTCAAGATTTTGATACTTGCCTTGAAACATTTCATCCATTAATGTCAGCCATGATTCTCCTCATCAAAGAGAGAATCACAGTCAGCATTAATAGGTTAAACATTTCAACTGACATGCATGTGGTGTAATGGATAGAAGCTTGGAATGAGAAATTGAAGAGACATGGTCAAATTTCAGCCGAGTTCATTGCATTCACATGCAAATGCTCTTGGGAAAGGTTATGAATCCATCTCTTCTCCCTTCTAAATATGAATTAAATAGTAGGGTAGATTGGGCTCTCTAGATGTGGTTGGCAACCAGTCTACAAGAAAGAAAACGCTGAATTCAAAAACCATAATGATTGTCAATCTCCAGCCCTCAGCAATGATGAAGGAAGGAAGCAAAATCTGTAACATCATACTTATTATAAAACCCAGGTTGTGTGTGTGTATGTGTGTCTGTTCGTTTATATATTGGTTTGGATTTCCCACATTTTTCAACAAAACTTCACAAGACTACGTAAAATTACCTTTATATATGAGAGTGGATTTCCTACATTTTTAAACCGATTTCAACAAAACTTCATTTTTTTTTGGCAGGTAGTGTTTCTTATTGTCTTGCACACTTTTTTCTTTATTTTTACATTCAGAATGCTTTAAAAATTCCATTTACAAGACAATTGTTTATAATAAAATTCTATTCAATCGGTAGACTCCTAACGATTGAAAACAATGTTTTTGTTTGAGTTTGGGTTTGACCAATTCGTAAAAAAAAAAAAAAAAAAAAAAAAAAAAAAACTAATTAAGACATGCGTGTCCGTCAACCTTAAACAATAATCTTTGTCAATTTTATTTTTCAGTCTTTATGATAGTCGATACTTGATCTATCTCTTACTGTTACATTCCCGGGCAACACCAGGCTCTACTGCTAGTAAATTATAAAAATTAAAATAAAATCACAGTATTAATTATAAGTTTCTAAAAAAAAAAAAAAAAAAAAAATATAAACAGTATTAAATGTTTCTTAAAAAACATTATTAAAGATATACTTCTATTAATAACCCATTTTAATTATAGTTTGCTGCAAAAATTCAGCATTAATTAAAGTTAAAAAATCAACTCATAGTAGGGTGTTACTGAATGCCATTTGATATGAATGAAAGAGAAGATAGAAGTAAGTGAAGATTTTGAGGATAAAGAAGGATGAAGAAGTAGCAAAAATAGAAATGCAATATGGAGTAGTCATTGGCCAGTTGGTGGAAAGATAGATGAGGACCCCTCTGTTTGTTTACAAATAGACATCCAGCTAAACTTTTACTAGTCAGGAATCAAAGTTATAAATTTTCTATGTCTTTTTTTCAGTTACTAGTAAATTAAATGTTTAAACAACATTTTACATCAGCAATAGCAATGACTATTATAGATCTTCCAAAGGAATTAGTTTTAAATTCTGTCCATAGAACAGGTTTTCAGTTAGTTTTAATAATTATAGAATTTTTTTTTTTTTTTTTTACAGTAATTTTCATCCTCTATAAGGCGTGGGAATCAGTCAGGACAGAGGGTTACAGAATAAGAGGCACTGTTTATGTGGATATGTGAGGAAGAAACAGTTAACCCCAGGCTTCACATTTCAAGATTATTATTCTAATAATCATTTTGAACATCCAAATCCAGGGGTTACTTTTTCTTGTTGAAGGAACCCCTCCCTGATGGACTAAAACATAGCGTAACTCCCCAGCCCCACTAAAAATTCTGAATAATGTTTTTAAAATTAGAACAGGCATTACTTTTATAAACCAAAACATGATTACTAAAATTTTATTTTACAAAAAACATTTAAAGAAGAAGAAAAAGGAACTGAAAAAACAAATGTTAATTATAAATGGAACTTATAAATATTAAAGAAATATTTTTCACCATGAGACTAAAAATAACAAACAACTCACTTTGAAACGCTTGGATTTGTGGATCCCTTTTCCAAAGATAATGTCGTAAAGAAGCACCTGGAGAAGTGCCATATTACCAAAGAGTCCATAGGGTTTATCCTCCAAAATCTTCAAGGCTTGTGCAATGTGAAGCAGTAAATAACTGTGTTTGAGAGATTCACATACCAATGCATATAATTGTTTCTTGTTCTGAAAAAAAAAAAAAAAAATTACAAGAAAAATCAATCATTACTATTATATGCATTTTTTTTTTTTTTTTGCTACTCAGTCTATGGATTGAACTTACAATTACTATATCATACATCAACACAGGACAATAGTTTAAAACATTGGTAAATGAATTTAGTGTCATAGTAATTGTGAATACAATCCTTGGATCACCTCGAACAAACTGACTCAGTAGAGACAAGTTTCATAATAACAAAAATGAGAACAAAGATCCAATATCCCTAGACAAGGACAGTGGAATGAGAACAATTTATCCCCATGGATTGAATAAAGGGCTAATATCAAAGGGTACCTGGATAGACAAACACCTGAAGAAGGTTGGCAGGTACAATTTCCAAAATATTGTGATAATAACAAAGATGAGGACAGGAAGACTTGAATGCTAAAATTTTATTACAATTCTAATCATTGATTTTTTTTAAAAGCAAACATTAAGGCATTAATGTAGTTAAAATAATAGCAGTGTCAATAGAAAAACTGTCCTTTAGACACTCTGTTATTTATGCATCTACTTATTTAAGTTGCATTCATGATACAATCTTGTGATATTCTAATATAAGAAATAAACCCTATTTCCAACACAATTACATACCATAACTTTCTATCAGACAATATTACAGACATGCCAAAACGATTCCACACCATTTAAATCAAAGTATGTATTTGTTAGAAATTGACATCACCATGTGAAATATTTGATCAATCGGGAAAAACTAAAACCTATTTTTCTCAAATGTACTTGTGGGAAAAATTTATTAAAACTCATGGATTTGGACTTTCATAGAGCAGAGATATAACTGTCTTCAAGCCGTTCAAATGCAAGAGATGTGGCTACATAGCTTTTTCCTTCCCCCAGCATGTGTTGAAAGAAACAATTTGCCTCCAACAACAATAATAGAGACAGTCAGTGAATCTTTGCTGATGATCACTTATTGGCAACTTCAAATGAATCATATCCAACAACAGCAGAGACAGTGAATAGTTACTAATGATCAAAGCTTTTTATGGTGGATCAACTGCATATAAACTCAAATAAAGAAAGTTTTTGTTCCTTTTTGACAATTTTGAAGTGATGTAGATAGGTTTGGGGGAAAGATATATGACAAAGTGGAAAAACATTTTACATGATGCGTTTTGTCTTTCATTGGACTATATTCATTTATGTTGGTGTGACTACATGTGTATGAATGAGAAATGCTGGAAATTTTAAATCTATATAATAAATGTGAATGTTACTGTGTCACACTTTTTCAACTTTATTCCTAGAGGTTGTAACCCAACATATCATACCATTTTGGAATCAGGCTGACTCTGTGAGCAAATTAAAATCATCCTGGGCCATATCTGGACATGCAATCCTAAAATTTTGGATCATTGTGATTTTTTTATGTGATTTTTTGCGTCAAATTTTTGGGAATAATTGAAATTAATTGCAAAATCTAGCAAAAATCACCTATGGAATAAAAAATTGTTTGTACAAATTTGTACATATGTTAAATTATCTTTAAATTAAGTGGTAGCAAAAGAATTATTGTTGAGCTTTTAAAAGGTAAGACTGCAATACTTAAATACAGCAATCAATTTTGAGTTCTTCTGTAGTTTATTGTTGCCTATCACATCTACTTCTCCCTACCTATTGTGATGAAGGCCTAATCAAGTACCCTCTATAGGATCTAGCATAAATTCTACAAGTATATGTATTAAACAACATAATTTACAATGGACAAAGACATCAACATTTGTGCTTGTGTGTGAACGTAAAGAGTTTGTATTTTGATGAATGTTTGTACATACGTGTATGTGTGTGTGTGCTTCATGGCGTTTTCCCACAAGTGGGCAAAATGCAGATCTCTGCGAGAGATCACATTTTTAAATTTTTCCACTGAAATGTAAAGTAAAAAGAGAAAAAGGCAAGAAATCGCCCAGTGTTTATAATATAGGGAGAGTGTGTCCGAGTGAACAACTTGGAAATTAAGGAGGAGTTAACTCTGACAGTTCTAACCTTGATGGCTAATGCTACGCGCATTGTAACAAACCACCCTCATTTCGTTCATATTCCATTGGTGAGATGTAAGTTCCACTCAAACAATAGCTTCCTACGAACCTCTGCTTTGTGGAACCAAGTGACAAACAAAAACTAACTACAATCTTGGCGTGTTCAAGTCAACCGTTATCTTCCTCACATCCCCATAATGTGCCTCTTACTCTGTAAAAATCTACCTCGAGTGGCTCTTGGGCGTTGTACAGATTGAACATAATTGTATGTAAACAAAAAAAACAAACACACTCAATTTACTTTAAAAAAAAAAACGATTCAATATTCGCCTTGGCATCCAATTGCCACAGTACCGCGCGAAGACAGTATCAGTAAAAAACGGAGCTTTAGATATGAATACAAACCTTTAAGAAACTTAAATTTATACTTCGACTTATCTTTAAATTTTAGTGTTAAATCAAAGCGCACACATTTGTTTTTTTTTTTTTATCGATCATGTAAAAATAAAAATGCACTTAAATCTGGAAGCTAAAGAAGAAAAACGGGCTTAAACACGAACATTAAATAAATGTAAAGAACACAATAAGTAAAGTTACAAGTGATTATCTCACCTCATATTCCGAAGCAAATACGAGAGATTTTACAGAAGCTTCTTTTGCGGAAGCTTTTGTAAAAATATTTGCTGCCTGGACGTATAGATTATCAACCATTATGTCGCAAACACGTGGAAATGGTTGACACCTTTAACAGGGGAGTGATCACTAATGATTGGTTGCGGTTTACACCTTCACTTGGAGAAGTAAACAAATATCAAGAAAAGATAACTATTGACGGGAAACTTTTTCTACGGAAGATGCACAATACCATAATCAAATTTATTCGACAACATATTTGAAAACATTAGTTGGTGAAATAAAAATGTAAGTCAGATAGAGAAAATATTCTTACACAAGACAGTTTTATAAAATTAATCGCATTAACTATAAATTCCATTAAATGCTCCTTTGTGAATTGTAACTTTTGGTGTAATTTAAGAAGAAGCACTGTGTCAAATGGACGATTATTACAAACACAAAAAAGTGAGAAAATATTTCTAAAATATTGTTTTAATGAATATCTTATTTTGACAGTTGATTGTTCCTGTAAATTTAAAATAAAATCGCCCAATACTGATTCTTTTAAACAATTCAATTGGTTGGACTTTTTTTTAATTTTGCTTAAAGTGTTTCCAGGAAGAATTTTCAAGTTTTGTGGACTTTTTCTAATTACATTTATTGCAGATTTTTTGTTTATAAATTAATGTCAGTTACTAAACAACAATATTAAAAAAGAGAACAGAATAAGTTAAAATAATATCAAGTCTTATCTGTATTTGATAACAAAAATATATTGAAACCAAGATGAAACAATAAAACATTCCACCAAATTTTCTACAAAATGTGCTTCTATTTTGAGCATCCGTAAGAAAAGAAAAAAAAACTAAAAAACAACTTTTTATTTAATTGAAATACACACTTTTCTCGTTATGGCAGTTTTCATATCTTGTAATCATTTTCGTAGAATTTTCTCTTTGCTTCAAGTTAGAATCTGTTCGTGCGAACCTTTAATACTAAAATGTGGATATGCCCGGGGCAAAGGCGGAGGTTGTCGAAAAAAAGGACAACTGACATTACCTCATGATTTGAAATTATCTGAAATACGCGACGAACCTCAAATTCATGGGTCTTTATTTATTGACCCTGACGATGGAGAAAAGTCTCAATCTATTGACGACGTTTGTAACGTTTTAAATGATCAACGCCCGTCAGTAGCTGACCTGCACAAGTGAGTTGTTATTTTTTTTTTATTATTTAATTATTTCAAAAACTTTTTTCTTTTTTTTTTCAAAATATGTAATAATTTACTTTCCTCTCAAAAACTAATTTTAAAATATCTTTTTTTGTTTGTTCATTAATGAATTTTTTTTTATATTGTTCTAAGTTTCAGGTTAAAATACAAACACGCACCTGCAATTGGTTGTTCATATTTACAGGTACACTGAGTGACGCACTGTTATGGTTTTTAAAAACTTTAAAAGTTTATGAAGGACTGGCTATTTTTTTGTCCTTGGCTCATCATGTACATGGAAGCTTATGGATCCCCCCCCACACACACACAGAAGAGAAGTGACCTTGTGTCATATTTTCTTACTTTTTTAGAGAAGGAAGACCTAGGTTGGTAAATAAAATTCAAAGATACATTTGTGAAATCATGGGAAAGTGTTATCAACAAAACCTGGTATTTTTGTTTTCTTATGGAACTTACTTTAAGCTATTTTTTAAGAAGACATACTTTTAACTTTTTTTTTTTTAACTTTCTTTTTAACTTATTTATTTTTTTAAATTTAGCTTCATTATGAGGAGGGCCAAACTTTGGAAAATCAAAGTATTTCTATTTTCTATTCTATAAATTTTTAAAATGTTGCACTTACCTGAAATTTTATAAGTCTCTAGTACACTCTACTGGTCCACTTGTAAAAAAAATAATAAAATAAAATGGAGAAACTTTTTAATATTTTTTGTGCATTACCTTCTGAAAACCGTGACACTCGTCGTAATCAAAAAATATATATATTTTTTTTTATCGATTTAGAAGTCTGGAAGGAACCTGTTGAGTTGATAATATCGATATAGTTTTTTTTTAGATAGTGTAACGATCCTTGACTTTCATGGAGTTATTGGACTTTTTTTTTTCTTTTTCGTACGAAAAGAAACAAATTTGGTGGTGGGGGAAAAAGTTATAAAAAGATTTTTAATAAAGAACAAATGGATAAAGAAAAATTTACTAAATCAGTATGTATCCGTTTATTTTTCATTTTTAGATGAATAATTATCAACCTCAAATGTTTTATGTAGTTCTGAAAAAATCTCATATAGAAAATATTTTCAAAACTTTATTTTTTTTTAACAGTTAAAAAATACAGAAAAAATTTGTTTCATATAACAATGTTACCACACTTTCAAAAGCAATATTTGTAAATAACAACCAAGTCCAATAACTCTTTAAGCGCCAGGGATCAATTTTATCAATGAACAGGACCCGACTTCTAAAATGATAAAAAAAGCAATATTTTTCGATTCTGACAAATATCATTTTCCAAGGAAGGTCTAAAGAATGCTAATGTACTGAAATTATTTCCAAAAACTTTTTTCTCAATTTCTCTTAAGAGTGGACCAGTCTATTTAAGTAGGTCCCTGAAATAAATTATCTTGCTCTTTCAGGCTGTTTTGTTTTGCTTTTTTAAATTTTTGATGTGAGACACTTCAGATTCGACTTTTTCTTTCAATTATCTATTCTTGTTAAATTCTAAGTTTTATTGATCAAAATTATTTACTTTATAGAAAAATGTGTGCTCAAAATATAAGACTAAGCAAAAATCGCTGTAATCTTTGAAACTCATGTAGTATGTGACTCACTTCAGATGATACTAAAATACACTTTGCACTCTGTGTCCATGAGAGAAGTCAGATGCATCAGAAGGTTGATTTGAGAGATGACCTAGCTGCCACCTTCACTAAATGTCAGTCACTTGCACCAACATGTAAATAGATTGTTGACCCAGCTGCACTTGGAATGTGCACTTGTGGAATGGTAGATGACAAAAGTATATATAAGCACTGATCCAAGAGGGAAGAAGAAAGTCTCATCTCTCTAAGAATTTAGAAATAATCCCATGTTTGAAGAAAGCCCTAAAGCGACACACCGGCTTGCTGACAATAAAGAAAGAAATTTAATTATTTTGTAAACATCAAAGAAACAATTTCTAAAGAATTAGTGGATTTTTTTTTCACAATGATGTTAACTCTGTACAGGGCCCAATGTCCACTCAAGGTAAAGGCTTACTGAGTGGGATTGTTGTAAGGGAGGGGGAAGCAGGAAGTGCATATTATGAAGATATGTAGGATATATGATAACAGCTGACCCTCGACCTGAAGAAGTTAAGATTGTAGCAGTCAAGGAAGCATCCTCTTGGGAGTCTCTTTCACAAAGTAACAATTCTGGGGAAGAAGCTGAGTAGTACTTACTCCTCACTAAAGGAACACTAAGAAAACAAGGGTAGGGATGGATTTGATATTGTGAGCATGGCATGGTAGGTCCTAGCTCTGGTGGTCTTAGCTGGTGGAAGTGACTAATAGTAGTGAGAGGCTAGTAATATTTTGTCTGTGGGATAAGAGTTCCTGGGTGAAAAATAATTCATCACTCACAAGGTCATGGAATTTCTTTTGAACTCCGTTATGGCTGGACAGTGAGGTAGGGGTAAGCACCTGCTCAGATATGGCAACAATACACCATTTCTTGGTTCAGTATGACTCTTGTAATGAAGATGCCAGCTGTTTTTGTTAGCCTGTATGATAGATTTTATGATAGTCATAATACTCTTGCATATTATACATAAATAGGCCTATTAAGACACAAGGATATTAATAAAACTCAGTGATGATTTCAAAATGAATTTTATTCTGTGTGTCTCCTATTATTCTCAGTTACATGACTTTAGAAGTGAACTTACATAACTCTAAAGTACAGACTTCTTGGCCATCTTAGCCCAATCTTCCTTTATTGCAACAGTGTTAGGTTAGGAGTCTTGCTGCTCCAAAATGCCTTATATGGCATTGTCTAGTGGGTTTAGGCCTAGGAGTCTGTTGGCCTGCAACCAACCAAAGTAGCTTTGCATAAATTGGCTGTGTAGCTAAGAGAACTGTCCTGACTTGAAATGTTGATTCATTTTTGGTAGTTCAAAAGAAAAAAAAATGATCAGAACTTTTTAGCACTTCAGAAAGTATCCAACTACATCTGCATTGCTTTTATCTTTACAAGAATGAAATTAGACCTAAAATGAGGTATTTACCCACCACCTTCTCCCATTCATACCACATCCAGCATTATCATTTTGACTCTAACCTTCGACCTTGAATTTGTATTGGAGGAAGTTTAGTAAAATATGTTTAAAACATCATCCATTCTGAAGATTTCTTTTGTCTGAGAATTTGTTAGATTTTTAAGGTAACTGACTACTTTCCTGCATCTCTATCTTTTCAGTGTCATGCACTTGGGGCCCTCGTCCAGGTTTTAATGCACAACCATTCTGATGGTCATAGGTTCACTTTTAGCTTAGCAGTTATCTTGCTGGATTGCCAAATATATATTGTGCAGCCTTTAGTATTCTCTGTCATCTCTAGAAAAAGAACCTTCTAACAAAGTATAGAAATGGGTTACATATCTTCTTTCTGATCTGAAAAGGAAAATTAGCAGAAATGGAAGTTACAAAATGCTATCTTTATCCAAATCCAAGACACTATTTTTTTTTCATCCAGTGTCTATAAAAATATGAGCATTCAAGTGCAATGTTTACTAATTGTGGGAGAGAAAAAATGATCCCTACAAATGTATGCATGGACGCCATTGAGCCCTTTTTAATTTTGGTTTTGAGATCTTGAATAAAGTTCCAATTCTAATCTTTGTTGTTTTGCTTTGTCTGTATTCCATTACTATGTTCTTTTTTATGTAGACAGTAAGGACACATCAACTGTGTGTTGGGAATGTTTTTATGGTTGATTTCTGCACAAATGTATGACACTCTTTGGTGTTTGTCCTTCTGTGAAGCCATTTTTCACGCTATTCCTGGCGTGTATTAATAGCAGACATTTTACTCTTTGTTCTACATTTGGTTTGATATCATTTGATGTAGAGGTTGATGGGAAGTTTTGTTTAAAATTTACTGCGAGTTTTGTTAAAGCAATCTAAGGGAGGTAATTTGAAAAAGGAAAGTAATTAAATATTTGGTATGCAATTGCCAGTGTGCTCCCAATATTGGAAATCCTACGCTGAATTTTTATTTATTTATTTTTTTTCCGAATCTTAAAATAGAGTTTATTTGTTTTAGGAAAAAGAAAATCACAAGTCAAGTACTGTGTTCTTTGCTAAAATACGTGTGACGTCACGGAGACACGTAAAGAATTCGCAGCATCAGTCACTTGCACTAAATGAATAACAAACAAATCAAGTTCTTAAAATAACAAATTACTTTTATTAAATAATAAGTTGCAAGATTTTGAATTAACGAAATGAAATGTGAAAGGTTAAAATGGGGTTACTAAGGCTAAAACTTTGTTTCTGTGATCCTTTGATTCTTGTCAGTTTTCTTTTAATTAAAAAAACCTATTTATAAATCACTCTTTGTTGACATTTCAAAATATCTGTTCATATACCCATTTTTTTGTAGTTGACATTTTTGATTTTTATTGCTTTTCATGATAATTTTGGAGGTGTAAGCACAAAACGCAGGAAATAGTCGGATATTTTTGCTTGAAATCCCTGTGTGACTTTGATGAGAAAGATCAAAAATCATTTCTTTTTGTTAGTTACTATTGTCTTAAAATAATCATATTGCATTTCAATGACCGACAGTAGAGAAAATTTCAAGAAAGCTTATTCAAAACACCATTATAGAATAGTGGCACAAATTTTAGCTAAAATGAAATCCTTAAAAGTCTGTCTTTCAGAAAAATATATACTTTACTGTCATTACATGCTTCAGGGTACAGACATTTAAAAGATAAGAAAATAATGCGCAATGAAAGGTGAGGTGAAAAGTATTATAGTGGAAAACCATTTATGCACTGAATTTAAGCCTTTTTGATATTCATGGATATTTTCCTTTGTCCTCATTAAGACTGAACCTGAAAAAAAAACAAAAACTGATAAAGCTATTTCTGGTGTCTTGCTCAGGCACACCATTCTTTAAAGTGGTTACTTTCTATGTCAACTATGTAGTATCAAATTCACTTGCTCTATTTTAACACTGGTATTTAAATACCAGTGTTAAAATATGCAAATTGGCAGTTTTTGTCAGGCTGAAATTTTTCAGTCGCTAAAAGTTTTTTTTTTCAGTCAAGATTTTTTTTCTCTCAAAGCAAACAAAATTGAAGATTTGTGAATGAATAAATAGTATGTACACAATCAGAAAACAATTTGATTTCAATTTTTTCCATTTTTGTTATAATTTGGAAACACTATTTAAATTTTTTTAAAGCTATATTCTCCTGGCATCAGTTTAAACTGAGTCCTTTTGTTTTTCATAAATTTTTCATGTCATGCTAGAAAATCTTTCTCTTGCAAGAATCTATATTACACCTTTATAAATCTACCATTTGTCCATGCTTAGAATATTGCTGCCACATCTGGTCTGGAGCTTTAGCTATGTATTTAAAGATTCTTGACAAAATCCAAAGAAGAATCTGCAATGTTATTGGTCATGACTTTGTATTTAACCACAGACAACTTTATGATGTCTTTTTCTTTTCTTTTCTTTTTTTTTTCTTTGAATACTGTAAGAATAAAATTGTTGTTGACAAGGAATACTTTTAATTAAGAATATTGTCTGCCATACAGTTGTTGATTCTTTTATCAAGATGAGAATTTCATGAATGATTGAACATTTTTTAAAATGTTAATGATTTCTTGCTTCATTTAAAATTAAAACTAGATAACCCATAAACTGTTGTGTTTCTTTTAAAAGCAGTTCATAATACAAAATGATGAGGTAACAATCTTATTAATTTTATTTTTAATTACACATTTTAGTTTTTATTTTAAGATGGTAATGGCATATTGTTCTACTGAGCTTCATAGTTAACACAGTGTGAAAATTTAGAGTAATAGCTTAAATTAGGTGTAGTCTTTTTTAAAATAAATATATTTTTTATTATACATACTTGCTTCTTCTTTACATTTATTTCAAAACACAACCAGCAGCAAATCCTTATGCATCTATTTATTTACCATCAAGTTGTAACACACAGTCTTTTCACCTTTCAAGCAATTGTTTAAAAAGAAAAAAGGTCCCAATGTAGTGTAGTGAATTGTATAAATATACGTTGTGTTATGGATATTTAAATTTATTTATGGATGCTTATTTTTCACACACAATAGATGGAATATAATATGTATTTGTTTAGGTAAAAAAAACAGCCCTAATTAAAGAACCCCTTGTTTAATTTTAATAAAATTTGGCACTATTCAAGGTACAGTACACTTCTAAATTGGCTGTATGTATCATTTAAGCTGTATATTGGGAACACACACACATTACATAAAAGATATATGAATTGAGTTCAAATTTCTAAATTGCAAAAGGTGCACATTGTAACTTGTAATTTTTTCTGCTAGTCATGGATAAACTATAATTTAAGATCTCTTTTGCTTATTAAATTGTTTGAATTTTTGGGGGTTCAGTTTCTAATTTACAGACACCCCAAGGAATTCTAATTTTTTGTTCATTCTATCATCAGCCAACATTAATTGTATAAAAATGAAACCTGTTCTGTTTCAGTTTTTTTTTTTACGAAGATGTAAGTTCAAAAATTCTTTTCATAAAACATTTTTATTCCTTTCTGAAATCTTTCAGCTTCCTGTATGTTTCTAATAATCCTATCTGTATTTTATACTAAAGAGTAATTAATAAAAATGGAAAGAACTTCTCATTTAGATTTTTTAAGCATCTACCAAAATAAGGTATTAGATAAAGAATTAAACAAAAATGAATTATAGTTAATTGAATTCTGAATTAATTTCGTGTATCCTTTAATAAACATTTTTTTTTTTTTTTTTAAGTACTGTTTACATCTATCTAATATATATATATATATATAAAATAAGTTGTATCCTCTGTCTGTTTGTTTGTTATTGACCTCTTCTTAGGGTTTTGGAGATAGACCTCCATAACTATATAAATGCTGAAACTACATTACCCAGAGTACTTGGATAAGTACATTTCATTTTGAACAAAGGGGATGCCTGCCTCATCGAAAAAATTTTTCCCTTTGATTTAAATTAGATTTAGATTTAGATTTAAATTTAAATTTCAACAAGGGAATGACTCCTATCCAAAATATAGGAGAAAGCCAGAAGATGGAGGTTGTATTGGCAAGATCAAAATGAGACAATGTGGATGTCAAGTTGAACAAGAAATCACCAATCAGTTGGTAGTGCCATACAATACATATTTGTTGCAACAATTCAACTGTCATATCAATGTTGAAATCTATTCATTAATTCATTCAATCAAGTATTGCATCAAATACATATCAAAGGACTCAGAGCAGGCTGTTTTTGCACAGACCCCACACTGAAAATTTTTTTCCCTTTGATTTGAATTAAATTTGAACCCTACCCAAAATATAGAAGGAGAAAGCCAGAGGGAGATCCCATTGGCAAGTAAGTAATATTGAAATGCATCATTTTTCTTCACACATTATAACAATGATTTAAAATAAATCGTCATTTTCTTACAAAAAAATAAAGTGTGACATGTAGTAAGGTGTGGATAATTCGGCCAGTACGAAATACTTCTACTCTATTGTTAGTTCCATGGGAAATGTTCAGGTGAGCTGTATTCTTTAACTCTACCGGTTTAGACCTTTACAGTACACCATGCCACATCCACAGTCAAATGACCTTCATTTCCTCTGTATTTCAGTTGCAAGGAGGAAGTTCAACTTGGACAGGTTTTTTCCTTTAACATTGTGGAACAGGCTCATCCCTGAACACTACAATCTTAAAATATTCAAATCAAGTGTCAGTTATTATTTATCCTCCTTATTCTCATAATATTCATTTCCTATCACCTCTATTTATGTTCATATTGCACACCTCATTCAATAGTTCTCTACCTTAAGTGTCTCACGAGCCTTTGTTGAAATGTACGGCAAGAGTGTGAGGTTGGAGGAAACTCCTCACCAATTGCTCTTCCAGCAACTACGGGAGTAATGGGCAGAGAGAAGAGAGAGATGGGAGGGGGAGGTAACAAAAAAAATAACAGCAACTTCAGAAACAAAATATCCACAAGACCCACTTTACAAGAGCCTATGTCCTCCCAACGGCTGACTGCTGGATTTCTCCCCAGCTTTTATTGGCATGTGGCATCTTACAAAGACCCAAGTCTTGACCAGTTGCAGAGAGGCCCATATCTAGACGTGCCAAGCTGACCGCCTGTTAACAAAAAAAAACTGGATGTAACTAGTGTTGACAGACATGACTTCATGCGGTTCAGGACCTCTTTTGGGTTTGTACTGATGCACATTCACCACAGCCTTGTATTAGGTAAACTTTTGTTAAAAAAAAAAAAAAAATTGCAGAAGTATTTTTGTTGCCTTTTATTAGTAAAGGGAAAAAATCATTTTTTTAGTTTCCATGTTTTTTTGTTTTTTTTTTTTTTTTTTACTTGAATAGCCATTTCTTCTGTACTGAAAAAAGAATCTAAATTTTATATATATATATATATATATATATATATATATATATATATATATATATATGCAGGGTGCGATGGATAAATTGTCGTCTAAATTACACAAAAAAAGAAAATAACACTGACATCTTGTTTTAACAGATATATTTACCAAAATTACACAAAAAATATCTTGAAATACTAAAGAGTAAATTTCTTCACTAGAACTGCCATTGGCTTCAACCACAACCTTCAGATGACTTTGGAATTTACTGCAAGTCTTCTGGATGGTCTCCTTGTTTAAGTTGGTGAATGCTGCCATAATCCTTGCTTTCAGTTCATCTTTGGTGTTACAAGGAATTTTGTTGGTCTCTTGCTCAACTGCACCTCACACATAATAATCAAGGAGTTTGCAGTCTGGGAAGTTAGATGGCCAGATGTAAGGGGTGATGTGGTTTCAGAAATTGTCTGACAGACATGACTGAATTCTCCTGCTTGTGTAGCATGGTGCAGTCATGCCAGACATAGGGTCTTCCAACAGCCACCCTCTTAACCCAGGGCAGCGTTACCTCCTTAAGGCACATGATGTAGGCCACTGTGATGAGTGAAGCCCTGTGGGAAGATGGATGGAGGCATAACATTGCCATCAGAAATGAGCACTCTAAACACTATGATGTTGACTGGATATTTGCGTTTCATCATTCTCGTCACATCTCTTGGGAGACACAGTAAGCCAACAGTTGCTCTGTGTGTTCATCATCTTATCCTGGCAGAAATTCTTGTTTGGTTGGAGGGGGGGATGCTTGAATTTGTTCAAAAGTTTTGTAGTGCAGTTTTTCCTTTTGTCCTTCATGGCTTGGGATAAAAATTGGCTCTTTCTCATCTTGTATGAGAAATACCAAATGCCTTCATTCACTGTCTGCTTGATAAAAAAACTCAGACACTCTTGTGTCCCTGGCTATGGACCAAATTGACTTGGAGGGATCATTGTCAAATTTGGGAGTTGTCTCTCTCTCTCTTTTTTTTTTTTTTTTTTTTTTTTTTTTAGAACAGTCAGTGAGTTTTCCAAGCTGCTGTACATTTCTTAATCACTATTAGACTCCTCAACTCCTGAATCCTCTGCACTGTCCTCAGATTGATGCTTAAACATTTTGAAATGTTTGTATTTGAGTTTCTGGTGTGAATGCCAAGCAGTACAGCATAACATTTCCAAATTTCTGGCAGTGAATTGTATCATAGTGCTCTTGACAAAATCAAAAACAAACAACACGTATGCAAGAAATTAAAAATATAAAATGGCAATAATTTATCCATTGAACCGTGTGTGTATAAATAAATATATGTATACACACACACATTTTACATACATTAAAAGAAGACATTTTCTTTTCTTCTTCAGATTTGCAAAGAAAGAAAGGGAAAAATTGAAACTGAAAATCTTGAAGCAAAAATACTTCAAAGATCCACAAGAAATTAATTTGTTAACATGGGAGACTAAACAGCAAATTTGTTTTCTTAATCGAGAATTTCCTGAAGACTGGACCGTTGACAGATTGGTTCAAAGTTTCCCAGTTAGTACAAATGGCATCATCAAATTGCTCAAATCTTCATATGTAATAAAGACTCCAGAGAAAATCCTTGAACATGATCTAAAAGTAAAACAAAGATGGAAAGAACTGGAAGCGGACCTCTCCAGAAAAGGAGGCCCAGTTAATCCCCAATATAAAATCTTAATTGAATCCGGGAAATTGAACCTTATGAAAAATGCTGCCACTTTGAAAGGAGCCCCGAAGGAAGTTTTGAAATTAGAAGATGGCATGAAAACCAGGACTGAAGAAGTTGGAGTTTTCAGTTCCATTGTGAAAGATTACACTGACAATAAAATCAAGAGGAAGGCAGATGAAAAATTAACTCTAGCAAATGAGTCTGATTTAAAGAGAGTTGTTGAAGCTATCGATGTTTGGCAAAAAAATTTTAAAGTGCCAGGAACACCAAGTGACAGGATTTCCGAGGAGACTGAAAGTTTCAGTACACAGGAAAATCCAACCACAGAACTTAATAAAATACCTCGCAGTATGAGACGTAAACTGAAAGGTGAAGAGATATCTGTTGATAATCTCTCTTACCTGGAAGCTTACCAAATGATGGGAACAGGAAAGGTTTCAAGGAGTGAAAGTGTTGACACAAATAAGAAAGAGAGTGAGAATGTCTTCATAGAACGAGAAACTAGAAAATATTTTAAATATCCTGTACATCAATATTATTCACAACCATCGAATGTGAAGAATTTCAGCGAGATGAACCATCAGTCCTGGGATCCTTCTCTACAGACACACATTAAAATTCCAGAACATTTGAAGAATAAAAAAGGCGTTGTATACAAAAAGAATGACACATATTATGATGAGAATGGTGAAATATTGTTTAGAGTTCCTTTCAAAGAATAAATGCTTTGTTTTGCTTATTTATTTTTTTTATTTATTTAACTTTTTTTTTTTTTTTTACTGAAATTGTGTGATTCACTTAAATAATTTTTCTTTTATGAAATAGTGCCCAAAATAAACAACTAATATTAGGGTGTTCATATGATTTATCAGAAAGGATATAAAAAAAATGTCAGTTAAAATTTGCATACATAATATTTATGACAGATGTTATTTACTTTTTTAGTGACTGCAGTCCAAGAGGAAGGTAAATTTTTAATTCCATGTTTAACTCTTTCACATTCAACCCACCTTGTAAATATCAGTTCTCAATGTACAATATGCCATAACCCACCCCCTGTATATTCTGCCATAATATATGGTGGCATCAACACAAATAACGCAGGAAGCCACATAAACAGTGAAATTTTGAGAGCTGATATTTATGGTGCATGTTGAATGCTTAAAGTAAATTGTATTTTTTCCCTGAAAATTAAAAAAAAATTAAGACTGTTTCCAATAACATCTTTTGTTTCTGAATGCTTTTTAATTTTTTTAAATGTTTTAGTGATTGAAATGAATGAAAATCTACAGCTGTGAAAGCTGGTGAATATGGAGGCATCAGTATGACTTTATTTGTTTCAGGATATGAGCTGAGAGTTCAAGTCTTGTTAAAAGTATTGTTTTTCCTTTAGTCTTATATCCTACTAGCAGTAGAGCCCGACGTTGCCCGGTGATGTAACAGTAAGAGATAGATCAAGTATCGACCATCATAAAGACTGAAAAGTAAAATTGACAAAGATTATTGTTTAAGGTTGACGGACACGCATGTCTTAATTAGTTTTTTTTTTTTTTTTTTACAAATTGGTCAAACTCAAACAAAAACATTGTTTTCAATCATTATGAGTCTACTGATTGAATAGAATTTTATTATAAACAATTGTCTTGTAAATGGAATTTTTAAAGCATTCTGAATGTAAAAATAAAGAAAAAAAGCGTGCAAGACAATAAGAAACACTACCTGCCAAAAAAAAAAAAGTGAAGTTTTGTTGAAATCGGTTGAAAAATGTAGGAAATCCGATCCCATATATAAACGAACACACACACACACAAACAACCTGGGTTTTATAATAAGTATAACTCGATATGAGTTGTCCTCCTTTCATTCTTGTGATGCCTCTTAATCGTGTTTTCAAATTGATTTCATGCAGAAACAATTGTTTTTCCAATTTTTGGCACTGTCAGAACTACCGCAAGGTAATATTCTGTAGTCCTGTGAAGTTTTGTTGAAATCGGTTGAAAAATGTAGGAAATCCGATCCAATATATAAACGTACAGACACACACACAACCTGGGTTTTATAATAAGTATGATATTCTTTTGGATCAAGTCTGTAGAAATGGCAAATGACATATCTGAATTAGAAACATTCCAAGTTATTAAAAGTAAATTAACATGCAAATATATTTAATAAGTTTTTATGATTATCTCAACTGTTTCTTTCGGTATTGGAATTCTGCATCAAATTTTTAGCTCAATTCTTGATGAGTTCATAGAACTTAAGATTGGACATGATTTTTGAAAATGGTCAAAGGTGACAAGGTTAATATAGTGAAATAGACAAGCTGCTGGCACAAAAGCTTAGTGATAGTATTTTAGATTTTTATTTTGTAAGAACCAATGTTAAGGAGACAACCGTTGAATCCAATCATTTTACATTTACCTTTATATGACCAAGCCTTTGTCTGCATTTGATGAGGTGGTATATACACTTTTTGTTGATATAGTGTGGGCTTGCTGATGACCAAGTGGAAAATCATCTCAAAAATATTAAACAGGCAACATAGGATGATATCTTAGTAATTCTCAACAAGACAAGGCTTTTTCTTTTTTTTTTTTTTCAAATGAAAAAAAAGATTCTACATTCTGGCTTATCAGTTTAGATTATTGCTTTTAGTATTGCACTTGTCTGCTGAGAAGCCTGGCTTTGTTTTTATGGAGACTAAGAATAGGGGTGCATCAACGGACATCTTGCAATGACTGTGCTGTGATCAAACATTTGGACATGGGCACCAATGTCGTTTCTCTTCTAGAATGGGTCAAACAAGGCCGGCTAATACAGTCATATCTTTGACCGAAACCAACAAATCAATGAAAGAAAATCAAATGGATTAATCTGCATATTCCTCTTCAATTTGAAAAGCCATTCAGTCATAACAAAAGAACTATTCTTATGTGCTGTATCCCCTCATAACTTCCTTTTCTGCCATCCCCTTATTCAAGTTTACTAAGTATGTTATGTGCTGTTTTCCTGTCTTTCTTGCCTTCAGTCTATCTTGTGAGTTTCAGATTTTCCAAGCCTTCCTTCTTTATTATGTGCCCTAGAAAACGTACCTCTTCCTGATAAGTATAAGTTTTCTTTTTGTTTCTATTGTCTCTAAAACTTTTGTTGCTCACATGTTTGGTACATGGTATCCTCAGCATCCTTCTGTTGAACTACATTTCTGGCGCTTCAAGTCTCTTCATTGTCTTTGAGGAGATGTCCTCCTCTATATGGCAGTGAGTGATGGACAATCATGTAAGGTTTAGTACTTTTTTTCTTTGTTTCTAACAAAGTTTTTCTTAGTACTCTGCGTAACTTTTGAAATGCAATGTTGGTTATCCCAATATACGTTTGGATATCACTGTCACACTTTCTGTCCTCTGTTAAAACACTTCCCAGGTATTTAAATTCTTGTAATTTGATTTTGGCATCTCAAATTTGGGCTCATCTTTTTGCTAACAACCATGCAGTTGGTGTTTAATCCTTTTTTTTCCCTCTCTTTCCTTCACTAACTTCTCTGAGTTTTTGTAGCTTTCTTTCTGCATCTGCTATCAACACTGTATCGTTTCAAATTTCATCATCTAAGAGCTTGCAAAAGTAGCTACATAGTACGTATTTACCATCATTGATATGTTTGTATAATCAATACATTTGTGCGTTTTGTTTAGTGTATACCTAGTGCATGCCTCCTGTATAAATGCGATACACGAAACTTAAAAAAATTTTTATATAATACCAAATGGAGTTATGTCCCCTACATTATTTGAAAAGAGGTTAAGTTTTCATTAATCTTGAATATTTTTTTGCATGAATTTTAAAGCCTCCCGAAAAAAAATTTAGCCCTTATATTTAGCATAAAAAAAAACGGATCATAAAAACTGGTACTATACGAAAGTATATACGATAGTTACCTTCATTTCTGTTGAGAGAGACATTTTTTTAAGTAGACTAAAGACATCTAAGTCATTAGATATTAGTTGCACTTTAAAGAACAGTCTACTCAAACATGCACACCCACTAAATATGTTTATAGCAAAAAGTAATGAAGTTTATGTACGTCTCAGCAGCAAGTGTACATTTAAGATGTCAATTATATTTTTAGTAATTTTTCTTGTAGGATTAATTCCCATATTTTGGTGTTAGAACTTTGGCTAAATTTCTAGCAAGTTTATGTTGCAACACGGGATACGAAAATTAGTATGATATAAGACAATTTTAGCAAGACAAACTAAGAAAAAAAAAATTTTAAATTTTAATTTTCCATATTAAAAAGGAAAATCACTTAGCTTTTAGAATACCTATTCCAGAATCATATTTAAATTCTCAGAATCCACACAAGTTTGAAAGTTAAAAAGAAAAACATCAGCATTCAAAATATAACATTCAGAGGCAAATGTGAACAATTCATAAATGGACTTTAAATTTCATTCACTTATTCTTATTTGTGAATGATTGTGAGATAATTTCTATAAACATCTAACATCAAGATATGGTAAGATAAAAAAAAATTTAAGAGTTTGATTTATTTTTAACAAACACTTTTATAGATCAAAAAGCTCATTTTTGGTATGACTTTAGTATTGAATTTTATATCGCATGCTAGACTCAACTAAGTATGTGTATCAAAATGAAACCATGGTAGATGCATGCATATGTCTTTACTTCCTAATAATTTTATCCTCATTTTTTTGGTTTGGAGTTTCAAAATGTGTTGATTTTAAATTTGCCACAAATTAAAAATTCTTTTTAACTTATCTTGTATCAATACATCTAGCTTAACTTTCCAGAATGTGATGTTTTGGAAAGACTATTTTGAGGTAGAAAT